AAAAGGTTGCAAAAAAAAAAAAAAAAAAAAAGTAACTGGTATTAAATATAAATGTACTACTTCAACCCAGCAGAAGCATTAGATTACAAAGCAGTCATGCAGAGAATCTGGAGGAAGCCTTCTCGCACTTAAATACATCCATGAATTTCCTGTAGCTTTGTTCAATGTAGGTTCTGAGTTAGTAGGTCTTGGGAGCCTGGGATTCTGTGTTTCTTTCTTTCTTTTTTTTTTTTTTTAATGTATTTGGTACAGGGTCTACAGGGTCTAACTACATATCCCAGACTCGTAGTGATTCTGTTTTCAGCCTCCCAACACTGGGATTACAGGCATGTGCCACCATGTCCAGTCTCAATCAGGTCTTAGCGCCTGTGGCAGATTCTGTATTTCTAACAAGTGCGAGGGTGATGGTGCTGATCTTGGACTAGATTTTGAGTAACAAGATTCAAGAACATTTTTACATTATTTCCTAAATGATGTTGTGAAAATGAAAGTACAAAGTGGGGCATGGTGACACGTCTGTAATCCCAGATGTCATGAGGCAGAGTGTAGGGATCACCACGAGTTTGAGGCTAGCTTGTTCCTATATAGCAAAGCCCTGTCTCAAAAAAGAGAAAGAAAATGAAATAGAATTTAAAAATTCTTGTAAGCCATGTGCAGTGGTACATGGCTATAATTCTCAATACTCTGGAGACTGAGGTAAGAGGATCTCAAGTTCAAAGCCAGCCTGGGTTACAGAGTGAGATCCTATCTCAAAAAACAAACAAACAAACAAAACCCCCTATATTCTTGTATAGACTTCAGATTTCTAACAATATTAGAGTAAGTCCACAAATCCCAATTTGAAGATTCTATCTAAACCTACACATATATTTTACAGTAAACAGACCAGATTCTGAAGATTATGAGACTCTGGTCTTTTTGTACACATCAGTGTATTACCCTACTCTTAGTAAAATGCTTGGCACAAAGTTCACACTAAGTATCTACTGAATCTAAAACTTTAAAAGTATAGACTTTGGATTTTGCAGATTTGGGCTCCTCAGTTTCCTCATGTGGAAATGGAAATGCTCAGATAGGCTTAATAGGGTTGTTGGAAGATGTCCTGATCCTTTTTTTTTTTTCAGTACCAGAAATTGAACTCATGACCCTGTGCTTGCCAGGCAAGTGCATATTCTACTGAGCTATCTCCCTGGACCCTGGAAGATTACTTGAAAAGACTAAGATGTAGCAAAATTTTGCCTTACCGATAAAAGTCACTCTCTGGGTCACTGTGCCGGATCTGGAATGGTGCGTTGGGATTCTTACAATCTAAAGGTAGAAGGTCATCAGGCAGAGGAGGTGACCCAGGGCAGGGGGGAAGAGGTTCACTTTCTTCAGTTTTGACACCTTCTGTCTGCTGTTGACTCTGGGCCTGACCTGTGGCGATAAGGCTGCGAAGGCGCCGGTTGTGCTGGATCAGCTGAATGGTGTGGATGGTGAGGCTACATGGCTCTGAAGGTATGTCCAACATGGTGGGGGGCTTGGGCTTGTTGGCTGAGGGCTGGTGCAGGGGTGGGTCATGAACCTCCACCAGCCGGAACTCCCGTGGGAGCAGGTCAAAAGAACTTCTGTTGGTCTGGCTTGATGACATGGGTATCTCTCCCCAGTATCTCAACATTTTGGAGTAAGAAAGGAAGAGCCGCCGTTGGGTTTAATGTAGATGATATCCTAAAAGTAATACATTTAAATCTCTGGCAGCTGTAGGTTGTAGACTTCTGTAGTGGAAAGTATGAAGTCTGGCCAGTTATTTATATAAAATACAAATGGCTTAAGACCACTTTGAAAAACGTCAGTGCAGCAAAACTGTAGGACCAAAGATGTTCTCCCTGGAAAAATTCAGAGAAATACAATTGTTAGCTGCTAATCACTGTCACACAATGACAATTCCTAATGGACTAAACCATAAGATAGGATCTGAGACAACAGTAGATAAATAGCTACGAGCTGTGTATAGGGCTCTCGGGTCCTCATTTTCTGTCACTTCACTAGCTCATTACTAGAACTACTATGGTGCCTAAACCTAAGTAACTTGCAAAGCTAAGTAGGGTATTGTGGTTTCTTATAATCCCAGCACACTGGAACCTGAGGCAGGAGGATCACTATGAGATTGAGGCCAGTTTGGGGTACATAGTGAGACCCTGTCTCAAAAAACAAAACAAAACAAAATCTTAGTGCTGGGCAGATAGCTCAGCAGATTAAAGCCCCTGCTTAGGCAGATGCAGGGGCTGGGGTTTTGATCCTTGGCCTGCTGGCCCCGCCCCTGGGGCATGCTGAAACAGAGATTGAGATTAGGTATGGTGGCACATGCTTGTAATCCCAGCGCCTGAAAAACAGGATCACTAGGAGTCCAATCTATGTAGTGAGACCCCATAGACCCTGTACTAAATACATTAAAAAAAAAATCTTAAAAGTATGTTACTTAAATATGAGGTGTGAGCTGGGTGTGGTGCTTTGCACCTATAATCTCAGATCTCAAGAGGCTAAGAGGCTAAGGCAGAGAAGTACTGCTATGAGTTCAGCCTAGGCTACATAGTAAGCTTGAGGCCAGCTTGAACTACATTGCAAAACCCTATCTCAAAACAAAAACCAAAACCCAAAATAAACCTGGAGTATTTTTCAGAGCTATCTTCCTCACTATGTAGATCGGACTCATAGTGATCCTCCTGTGTTCAGCCTCCCAACTGCTGGAATTACAGGCGCATACCACCATGCCTAGTCTCAATCACCTGGCCATCTCAGCGCACTGTGGCGTGGGGGTGGGGGCGGGGATCAAACACTGGCAGCTGTACTCTGCCTAAGTAGGTGCTTTAGTCTGCTGAGCTACCTGGCTGGCCCTCAACTTTTAACATATATAAAGAAGAATCTGAGAGATTTCTGGTGCCTTCTCATTCATATCCCTTCCTCTTGACTCTCCTTATACGTAATCTATTTTTCATACCGCTCCTAGGCTTAATATTTTGAAAACTCAAATATGATGGCTTGTTATTGCCTTCTGGAAAAAGAATTCTTTGGCTTATCATTCAATGAAATTCACAGTCTGGCTTAAACCCATCTTTCTAGATTCATTGCTCATATGTATCTTCAGGTTCAACAAACATTTACTGAATACCAGGTATTATGTGAGGAAACAAGAGTACAAGTTGTCTGCTCTAAAGTATACCAAGAGTACAAGTTGTCTGTTCTAAGGTGAGAAAAGAAACAGATTTTAAAAAATTTCGATATGAAAGCATGTGGAAAGTTCTAAAAGTACAGACCTACTGCTGCGGAAGCACAGAGGAGGAACTTCCTGGTGAAGGAATCCAACTGCCGCCATCCTAGGCTGAGCAGAGATCATGTTAACCCTCTTTCCCTGCTATGCTTGTACAATGATATAGATGAATAGTCAGGGTAGAGATATGCTACCCCACATATCTCCCATCATTCTTCAGCCCCACTCTTAATAAGAAACCAGTACTCCTTGTTCCTTCTCAAGCTTTGTTCTCAGCAGGCAACCACAACAACTGTCCCCCTCTAAAGTTCCAATTTTATCTTTTTCTTTCACAGCTCTTCTTTAGGATCATTAAGTTATAAAAGACCTTCTAGCCTCTAAGAGTTATCCATCTTGGTCCAAGGGCCAGGTCAATCCCTTTCAGGTTTGTCCTGAAATAAACCTGCTCGGTTGAGCTCATACCTTTGTTTCTTCTTCCCTTTTTCCTAACACTTGGACTACATGATTACTTTAGCTCTAATAGTATCTTTTTTTTTTTTTTTTTTTGAGACAGAGTCTCTAGGTATGCCTGGTTAGCCTCAAATTCCTTATGTATCTCTCAAACTCACAATCCTTCTGCCTCAGTTTCCTAAGTGCTGGGATTACAGGCCGGTGCCACCATACCTAGCCATATTTATTCCTTTAAAAAAAAATTTTTTTTTTTTGTACTAGGAATTGAACTCAGGACCTCATGCTTTCCAGGCAGCCATTGTGCTATTGAGCTATATCCCCAGTCCCCAAATCTGTTCTTGAGAAGAGTTTAAGGTGCTATCCTTTATTGCCTCCCCTGTATGTCCCTTTTCCTTGTATTTTCATTATCATCTTACATGACTGTGTCACATTTATTCCAGTACTCATCTCAATCAACTTTAGTCTTCCACCTACCCATTATGGCTGTCATCTTGGTACAATACCTGGCACTTCCTGAGTGCTTACTATATGCCAGCCTTTCATTGTTTAGTACAATTCTCCCAACAACTCTATGAAGTAGACAATACTGTTATTCCTGCTTTCAGATATATAGGTTGAGGCCCAGTCTTGCCTATTGTCACTGTCAGTGCTATTAAGCAATCTCATGTTACCTCAGATCACTTTGGAAATAAATGAATGAACGAAGCAACAAAAACAATTGCCCCCTTCCCTAACTTCACCGAAAGGAGTAGGAAGGTCAGGTCTCGAACCTGAACAATGCCAAGTTCCTCTGCGGGGGTTCTCTTGGTCACAGGCACAGACGCTAGTCACAGGATTTTGGGTACAACTGATGCCCAAGGCAGCCGGAAGATGGAAACTTCTGCTCCTGAAACCAGACAAAAAGGCGTCACTGTTTACTACCGTGTTGCAGGAGTCAGCTGGGCAGCTGTCCGACTCCAGATCCCTGAGGCGAGGGTTCACATCCGGCCTAGAAGGCTGGTTTGTTGATTAGTGGTCGTAGGTTTCCGGAAGTGTTTCTTTCCAATTAGCTGGGCTACAGGAAGTTATTACACTCCTGTTGCAACCTCTAAAGATGTCCCCTAGGCTGCACAGCACTACTGCAGTCTTTTCCTGATATTTTGGCCACTTTACAGCACTCTTAAGTCGTGAAGGGTCAACTCTTATCTGCCCAGAGAAGCTCTTCGGAGTCAGGAAAAGGGAGACGAAGGCGGGAACACACAGAGGAGGGTGAGGTTTCCGGGGACACATTTCGAGGTGGCACCAGCCTGAGGATGGCTGATGCTCAGTCTCCACCAGAGCCGCCGGTGTCCGCAGACATCAGTGGAGACTTCAAGAAGCCAGCCCTGCCAGGGTCCGCGGCAGCGCCGGGTAAAGCTTCGGCCGTCAGTGGTGCAAAATCTGGGGAGGCGGCGGAAGAATGTCCCACGGTGCTTTCGGGTCCCGAGTCTGGGGAAGCCGAAGCTCCGCTGCCGCGGCCGGGCGGCGGGGAGATGCGGAGTCTCCCGGAGCAGCAGCTGCGTCCCCCGACTGTGGTTTCTTGCCCAGGAGGCCCGGCCCGGACACCACCGTACCAAGAGCCTCCTTGGGGCGGCCCAGCCACCGCCCCCTACAGCCTAGAGACTCTGAAGGGCGGCACTATCCTTGACACCTGCAGTTTGAAGGGAGCGAGTTACTTCCTTTTCGGAAGGCTGTCTAGCTGCGACATATGCCTGGAGCATCCTTCGGTGTCCCGGTACCATGCCGTGCTGCAGCACAGGGCGCCCGGCGGGGACGAAGAGTGCGAAGGCCAGGGGCAGGGTTTCTACTTGTACGATCTGGGAAGTACCCATGGCACTTTTCTCAACAAAACTCGCATCCCGCCCCGCACCTATTGTCGAGTCCACGTCGAACACGTTTTTCGCTTTGGAGGCAGCACTCGGCTCTTTATCTTGAAGGTAAGTAGAAAAACGTAAGTTGAAACCTTAAGGCTTCACTGTGCTGGGATCTTGAGCTACTTAAGTTTTAGTTGAGGAAGGAGGTCGCACAGTCAGCAATTTTAAAAATGGAGGCATTAATGTGGCCCTGGTCTCCAGACTTCTGTACACGTTGCCCCGTTTCTGAAATTTACTTCCACATTCCTCAACTCTAAAAGCAATTTTTTTATTTTTATTTTTGGTTCGTTAGGGACCAGAGGAAGACCGAGAGGCAGAATCCGAGTTAACAGTAACGCAGCTGAAGGAACTGCGAAAACAACAACAAATGTTGTTGGAGAAGAAGATGCTAGGGGAGGACTCAGATGAAGAGGACATGGATACCACAGAACGAAAGGAAACTACTAGCGGCCAAGATGATGACATGGGCTGCAGCTGGGGAATGGGTAAGAAATTTAAAATTGTTGTCAAAAGCTGATATTTTAAGTTTATTAGTAGTGGCACTCTTTTTTTTTCCCATGATTTTTTTTTTAAATTTTATTTATTTATGTGTGTGTGTGTGTGTGTGTGTGTGGCCAGCTCAGCCCACCAGGGGGCGGGGCTGGCTGGCATGTGGTGCTGGGGGATTGAACCGTGGTCCCTGGGTTTTGCTAAGCTTGTTCTAAGTAGGTGCTTTAGACCACTGAGCCATCTCACCAGCCCCTTTCCCATGATTTTATTGAGAATCAAATAGCAATGAGACAGTTTCAAATCAAAGTGGTAGGACAGTTTCAATAATTAGCACATTGCATACATTCTTCCTAGTGGTTAATTGCTGTACAAGATGTGGACATGATATCTTATTTACAAACACCATAAGAACAAATCCCTCTATTCATTAAGAGAATGTAACTATATATCTATACTAACCACTTTTTTTTTTTTTTTTCCCAAGTAGTGGCACTCTTAACTTCCTAAAAAAATGTGTAGCATTTTTAACTCTTTGTAATACACAGGGCACAAAAACAAGTTGTGTCTATGGCAGCCAAATCCAAAGAGTCATTAATTTCTTTGATGTAAAAAATTTAATTGTGTATATTATGGATATTTAAAATTTGTTTTTAGTACACTTAATTGCAAAATGGCTAGTCCAAATTGACATGCTATCAGTGTAAAATGCACACTGGATTTCAAAGATGATGTTAAAAGTAAATTCATACATTGATCACTCAGTGAAATGATAATTTTGCCTGTTGCTTTTTACTTTTTAGTGTAGTACACAGAAAACTTAAGAATATATGTATGGTTTTTTGATTGTATTTCTGTGGGATAGCACTGACTGACATCTTTGAGCAACTGTAAATTTGTAAGCAGAGAGGGGTTTAAAGTTAGAATTTGAGGCAAGGAGAAGTAGCCCTTATGAAGCTGAGGATTGGTGCCTTGGAAGTGTTGGATTTTTAGGGCAGGCATGGATGATTTTAAGGGAATAATGTGTTTATCAGTTTATTTAGCAGATAGAAGAAGTATTAGGAGAGTATATTGGAGACCATGTATTAGAGCTGGCTGAGGGACTGAGATTTATTTTCCAAGGGTGGTAGGTAAATTTCACCAATAAAATAAAATGATGAAGAAAAGAAATTAAAGTGCCACACAAACAAGTTTTGATCTCTCATATAAGTCAGAAAACCTGAAGATACTCCTAGTGGTGGTTTTGTAGTTACCTCTCCTGCCTCATGGGTTTTTTTTTTTTCTTTTTATCATGTGTAAGTATATCTTGATGTTGCCAGAAATAACAGTGTCAGATAATCTTCTCATGTCTGATTGTCTTTCTGCGCTTTCTCACACACTGTAGCTGAAGATGCTGTAGAGGATGAGGCTGAAGAGAATCCCATTGTCTTAGACTTTCAGCAGGAAAGGGAAGCTTTTTATATAAAAGATCCAAAAAAGGCTCTCCAAGGTTTCTTTGACCGAGAAGGTATGTAAATATTTGCGGACCCTGACAGTAAAGTGTGTTGATGGCAATGTTGTTTTCTAGAGGTTCAGGTTGAGTGTCACACATAGAAGAAATTCTAGTAACTTCCGCATTCACTTCTTACCCTTATGGTCAGTTACCTCAAGTTTCTTTTTGTTCTTGTGTTTATGGTGCTGGGGATTGGTGCTGAGGCCTTTGGCAAGTATTCTACCTCAGAGCTATATCTCTACTGCCAGGTTTGTTTTAAAAATAGTCAAAATCTAGTTTGGTATGCTGCTGCACACCTATAATCCCAGCATTCTAGGAGGGTGTGGCCAGAGGATTGCAAGTTCTAGTCCAGCCTCAGCAATTTAGCCACTAGCGCAGCTGTCTCAAAAACAAAAATAAAAACAAAAACAAAAACAAAAACAAAACAACATACTAGTGATGTAGCTTAGTGTAAAGACCATGGCTGGGTGCAAGCCTTAGTATTGCCAAAAGAAAGAAGAAAATAATAAGAATCTTGTTAGTCTTGTTTCCCATTTTAGAATAAATTAAGTACTTTTTTCCTGACGTCTCTCATTCTTCTCAGAAGATCCTGAACTTGGTGGACATGGTGGCATGTACCTGTAATCCTAACTACTTGGGAGGCTAAGGCAAGAGAGTCACACATTCAAGGCTAGCTTAGACCACTTAGCAAGACCTTGTCTCAGAATTACGAAAAGAGGAGAAAGGTGGTTGCTAGATATGTGTCCCGACCCGTGGGTTAGTCAACGAGGACCCTAGAGGGGGAGTGGGGATGAGAAGGGACAGGAGACACAAAGAATGGAGACAAGACAGGATTCTGATCCAGTCTCGTTTATTCAGGGGAGGTGCTGGGTATATATAGGGGGTGTAGGAATGAGGAAGTCTTGGCTCTTGGGGTCAGCAGGTATGTAGGCAATGGAGGAAGGTCCCACCCCTGGGGCATATCACGGGGAATGGGCAAGGCAGGAAGGACCAGAAACTTAACTCAGCAGGGGAATAGAAACTTAAGAAAATGACTGACACTATTATAAAATGGATACCAGTTAATGGCTTCCCACAGGTCCCCCTTTTTACTTTAACTCCAAAGGCCGTTACTCCTTGAGGGGACTGTGCCTGTCTTGGGTCAAGATGCTTTCACATGGGGCCGAACCAGACCTTTCCCGTCATAGGACAGGGCATCGGAAGGCCCAGTTCTTATCTTAGGTGGCGATTGGTACCATATGTGAGCCTCTAGTTGCCCGTCTGTGGCTATCCAGTCCATCGCACCAAGGTGAGAAAATCTCTTTACTCGGATTGGGCATCATCGTAGTGTACTCTTTCAAGTTCAGCACAACTTTCTCTGTCGGCCATCTCAAGCCTATGGTAATGGACCTGTATGGGCTGCATTTTAATGGCACCCAATTGTTGTTTAATGAAAGTCATCAGCCTATTGAAAAGACAGGGTCCTATTGATAAAAGTATTAATAGTCCAATCAAGGGTCCCAATAGGGGGAGAAGGTAGGGTAGTACTCCATTCCATGTGCTCCAGAAAGGGTTTTCAAATAGCTCTGTTCTCCTCTTAATAAGATCTTCTTGAAGTCTCTTTATTTTATCTCGAACAATACCAGACTTGTTTGCGTAGAAGCAGCAGCATTCCTGTAAAGCCAAGCAGATCCCTCCCTGCTCTGCTGTTAGAAGGTCTAAGCCCCTTTGTGAGACTACTTTTGCTAATGAATCTATCTGGTCTTGGATATCTTGGATAGTACCAGACAGTGTTTGAACATCATCAATCAGCTGATTAGATAATTTTGTATAAGAATGTACTGCTACTCCCAACCCTGCTGTGCCTGTCTGCATGGCCACCATGACTCCTAGCCCCACTAACAAAGGGATGAACTGGACTGCCCTCTTTGTGCGGCCCATAGCATAATCTAAACGGGGAAGGGGTACGGGATCATTACCAGAGATGACATCTATATCAGGCAATACAATTGCCATGACATACAGTCCTGTCCAAGTGGTAGGTAAATATGTGAAGGCTAAACTTCCCCTACATATAAATACATGTCCCTTTTTTGGGCAAATAGGGCTACTGTAGTTAAGTATTTGACTGCAGCTGGTGAAGGTAACAAATCCAACATCAACAGTGAAGCTATCATTGTGGATGCCTCCCCGCATGCAGGAAGACTTCCGTAAGAGTTAATCCCCCCCAGAGAGGGTGGCTCTGGCTAATGCCTGCCAGTCCTCGGGAGTAAGCTAATTGTCGGCCACAGTTTCTAAAATGGCTGTGGTGTATGGAGCTATGGCTCCGTATTGGGCAACCGCCACTTTTAGTTCTTTTAGTACTTTAAAATCAAAACTAGTGTAATGGCACCAAATCTGCCCTTGAGTGCCTGTTGTTTCTGACACCGGAAATACCTCTGCCTTATCTAGACCTATGGGTGGATCTAACAGGAGGAAGCTTTTGGGGATAGCGCCCCTCACGGGTGGCCTTTGAACACGGGAGCCTTTGGTCCAGTTATATTTTTATTTTTGGGTTTTCCTGATTTTAATCTTTCTGATTGGATTATGAGGTCTTGGTGCTCTTTCTCTAATTTTATCTGTTCTTTGAGAAGTTCAGTTTTGCCTTTTAATTCCTTTCTGGGGTCAGAAGCTGAACATGCCGAAGGAGGCACGCTGGGATCAGTGCTATATGGCGAAGGGCACTTAACCTTGGGTGGCCCATCTCGGCCCTGATACCAAGCAGCTTCCTCTCCCAGTTCATCCCAGTCAACTTTATTATAATCGGCTTCAACTTGAAGAGGTTTTGGTAGTTTGGGATATATTTTTTTAACCTTGAGCGTAGCTCCTTCTAAATCAAAGGGGTTAATTTTCTCCTCGGGCTGTAATTTGGAATTTGGCGGTTCTGGCTTCCTAGTTTCGATTTCAAGATTCTGTTCCCTTATAGGAAGGCACACACCCTTAGGGGGTTCTTTGTCCTTTAAGATGAGTTTTCCTTTTTTGTCCCTGTAGTATATTTTCACCCTTTTTTATCACATTAGCAACAACCAGGTCACAGTGTCTCTGGGATAAGATTTTATCAATTAAATTCCAGTAGGAAAAGGCCGTAACTGGAACCTTTTCAGGTCCAAAAGTCTCATAATAATCCTTAAGGGCATCACCAACCCTTTTCCATCACCTCTGATCAATAGTTTCTTTAATAGGGAACCATGGGCAAACTTGTTTAATATATTTAAAATATTGACACAAATCCTTAATTTTAACCTTTACTCCTCGTGCCTTTAAAGCCTTATTTAAATTTTTAACAAACATTTTATGCTGGCTTATTTTCTGACCCATAATCGCCATTTACTTACTGAGGCCTGGAAAACACAGCAGGTTCCCGCCTTGACCGATCCTCTATTTTTTGTGTTGGCTCCCCGAATGGCATCCCTCACGATATCTTTCCTTTTCGCCCCACGTTGGGCGCCACTTGTCCAGACCCGCGGATTAGTCAATGAGCACCCTAGAGGGGGAGTGGGGATGAGAAGGGACAGGAGACACAAAGAATGGAGACAAGACAGGATTCTGATCAAGTCTCGTTTATTCAGGGGAGGTGCTGGGTATATGTAGGGAGTGTAGGAATGAGGAAGTCTCGGCTCTTGGGGGGTCAGCCGGTATCTAGGCAACGGAAGAAGGTCCCACCCCTGGGGTATATCACGGGGAATGGGCAAGGTGGAAAGGACCAGAAACTTAACTCAGCAGGGGAATAGAAACTTAAGAAAATGGCTGACACTATTATAAAATGGATACCAGTTAATGGCTTCCCACAGATATGTAGCCCAGCACTGGCATGCTTGCCTAGCATTCTGCAAGGTCCTGGGTTCAATGCCTAGTATAAAGAATGGAGTACAGAAGGGCATAGAGAGTGGGGCATGGGTATGAGGATTGGTTCCAGAACAGCCCCATCTCACCAGAATCCAAGCGTGTACCATCATACCTGGCTTGAGATAGGTTCTTGCTATGAAGTTCAGGCTGGCATCAAACTTGTGATAATAGTCCTGTTTTCTTCACCTCCTATGTGGTGGGATTACAGCCATTCTCTGCCATGCCTAGCTTGTACTTAATAGATATGCATCTAAAAACTAGCTGTGACAAAATAGCCTCTTGAATGTACAGTTACAGAAGCTGTCAAACTATAGTGTGCACAAAACTGTACATAGTGAATTGATTGGTTTTATTTAGTTGATGTCCCAAAGATTTAACCCAAGACCATACACAAGCACCTGCTGTACCCCTGAGCTACACGTAAAGCACAACAGTTGTTGTTTTGATCTGAATTTGCTTTACTGTCAAACTAGGAATGAGAAGTAAAATGCATTGAAATGTAGTATTCAGTGTCAAATGGAAACTTGATGTCCTTACTTAACCTTTGTTCTGTTTTCCACATTAGGTCAACTACTACTTTTCATATTGTATTAAAATTGTTTTTTCTTTCTTCTTCCCACAGGAGAAGAATTAGAGTATGAATTTGATGAACAGGGACATAGCACTTGGCTCTGCAGGGTGAGGTATGTTCTTTTTCTTACTAATGTTCATTTCCAGGAAGTACCTAATTTCAGGTTAGTTTATAGTTGTAGACAGCAATCCAAAGAGTAGCACTACATTAATTTTGGGCCATTCCCAAATTTGCTCTTTGATAGTTCGGTAACACAGTATTGGGAGGTGGGGTGAGAAAAGAGGTGAAAAGAAAAGATTTGAAAGTCCAGTCCTGGTAAGAGAGCAGAGTGAATTTGAAACTTTGAAAAGCCATCTGAAAAATGTACTACACATTAATTATTTCCATGAGACTTGGAACTTAGGACTGTGCTGTAAATCTTTCTATGAACCAATGCAGATTACCGGTGGATGATTCAACTGGGAAACAGCTGGTGGCAGAGGCCATTCACTCAGGAAAGAAAAAGGAAGCAATGATCCAGTGCTCACTGGAAGCTTGTCGGATTCTTGACAGTTTGGGATTGCTACGGCAGGAAGCAGGTCAGTATATGGGAGTTGAAAAAGAAGAAAGGAAAAAATACATTTAATAAAATGAACACACAGAATGTAATGAAATATCTCTACATAGGGAATATGTAAAATGTACAGAAATGTCTTGCACTAGTAGGTAAGGTAGCTGTTTATATTCTCTCAAACACTTTCTATGCATATGTGAATGTGTGTCTAGAAGAACTAGACACTGGAACTGAGGATGTAGCTCCGTGGTAGAGTTCTTGCCTAGCATGTGCACAGCTCTGAGTTTATCTCTAGCACTGCAAAAAAGATAAAGCTTAGAACTAGATCCTTTAGGTTGGGTATGGTGGTGCACACCTCTAATGACAGCACTTGGGAGGCTGAGAGGCAGGAGGATCCCTGCAAGTTTGAGGCCAGCCTGGGCTATATAATGATACCCTGTTTCAGAACTCCCCAAAACCAAAAAAGTCAAAACAAACAAAAATTTAAAAAAAAGAAAAAAAAAAAAAAAAAAAAACCACCCAGAAAAAGAACTAGATCCTTTAACAAAAAACACTCATACACAAATGGAGTCTTACTATTTGACTTGTACTTTTTTGTGTCTTTTGTCAGTACTAGAATTGAACTCATGGCCTTCATGCTGATTTAGATCTCCCACCCATTTTTTTTTTTTTAATTTGAAGACAGTGTCTTCTTAGGTTGTTCTAATTTATCATTTTCTTGCCTCAGCTCTCCAGAGAACTGGGATTACAAATTGTGACTCACTTTCATAATATAAGAATGTTCAGGGCTGGGGAGAAGGCTCAGTGGAATAAGCACTTCCCTGGCAAGCACAAGGGACTGAGTTCAATTCCTGGTTCTGCCAAAAAAAAAAAAAAAAGAATATTCACAGATTATTTTCCATATAAACACATTTGATTTATCCCACTACAGAGAAAAAAGATTGTCTATACTGTCTATTTTAATAGGTTTATATTATACCTTTAAATATTCTAAAATTAATTTGGTTGCCAAGTTACTTATATCTGGCTTTCAGTTATTAGAAAGGTTAAAGTATACAGCTCCTTGCCCTATCTTTTCTTAGTCCTCATGTCTAAGGTTAGCTTTCAGTTATTTTTTCTGACATTTAAAAATATCTAGGATTAAAAAAACAAAAACAAAAACAAAAAACCTAGGGACCCACAGGCCAAGGATTTAGCTCTGTGGCACAGCACCTACCTAGAAAGTATGAATGAAATACTGAGTTCAATTCCTGGTGGGTTCCCCCATCTGTATTTCCAAAAACCAGGCATATGATCTTTTATTTATTATTATTACTTTGTATTTATAATATTAATGTATTTGGTTGGTGCAGGATCTCACTACACAGCTCACACTTGTGGTGATCCTCCTATTTTCTGCCTCCCCAGCACTGGGATTACAGGTATGCACCACTATGCCTGAACTCTGGCCAGCTCAGCCCACCTTGGGGGCAGGGCTGGCACGGCATGTGGTGCTGGGGATGGAACTGTGGTCCCTGTGCTTGCCTAAGCAGGCTCTTTAGTCCACTGAGCTATCTCATCAGTCCAGATTCTTTTTTTTTTTTTTTAACTCACTGATTTTTAAGAGTCTTTTGCTCAGTAAAGAGGCTTTTTGTTTTAAATTTTTGTACCATTTGAAGTGTGTAACATCACTTAATAATGTTAAGTGTATTCACTTCATTGTGCAACCATTAGCACTGTCCAGCTGAAACATTTTATTATTCTGTACTTTAGTTGTGCACAGTCAACATTGACTCTGTTCTTCTTCTTCCCCAGTCTCTGGGAACTAACTACATTGCTACTTTCCCCATGTCTGTGAATTTGACTGGTTTAGATACTGCATATAAGGGCAATCATGTAATAAGTGTACCTTATTTCACTTAGCACAGTGTCTTCAAAATTTAGCCCTTTGGTTTTCTGTTTGTTGTTTGTTGTTTTTTTTCTTTTTTCAGTACTGAGAATTAAACCAAGGACCATTAAACCGAGACACATCCCGTTCTTTTCCTTCCTCCCTCTCTTCCTCTCTCCCTCCCTCTCTTCCTCTCTTTCTCTCTTTCTCCCTCTTTACCTTCTCTCTCTCTCCCTTTCCCTCCTCTCTCTCTCTCT